TATATTTTAAAACATCACATGCCTTTTCGATGTTTTTTGTTTTTACAGATAATAAATTAAATTATTTAATTCGTTGGATAGGGATGTGAGAAATACTTGAAGTATGCAGTGTGTCTTTCATGTAGTACAGTATAGTAGGAATGTTACTTTTCTTAGTTTCAGATAAGGTACAGTATGTTCAGATGTATTTCAGCAGAAACCTCATTAGTAAAACTATTGATGTTTGAATGAATATTGATCACAAACAGTTTCAATATTAAATCAATTAAAACAGCTGAAGACTGGCTTTAGATAATGGTTGAATCAAAGTCCTGTCAGACCCATGCCACTATCAAGCTTACCACTGTCCTTTTGTCACGCAGTATCATTAAGATGCAGAAAAGAAAGAGGCAGGAGAAGATTGACACCTTTTTCAAGAGAAATCCTGTAAGTGAAGTTGAGAGATGAAAGTTGAAAAATGTTGACATTAAACAACAGTAGCCTATTACCATTAGATGCTGTTTTATTTCATTGTATTACTTTTCAATATTCACTGAGGTTTTCTAGTGCCACAGCTGTAACTGTTTGAACCTATTACCACTGCAACCTTGTTTAGGTGAGGACGTTGCTGGAGGCATTGGTTTCAGAGGCAGCACAGGAAGGTTCACAGGTGAGCAATTAAATGAATGTTACAGTTTGTAAAAGAGGTTTATGAAGGAAGAGGGGCTGTGTGTGTGTTTGTGTCATGGGTGGTGCTTATTTCCATCTCAGGTGCACACGTGTGTATGGTGTGTTTATATCAAATTCACAAATTCATTTTAAATGTTTTGATTATGGTGTATGTAAGGATGTGGCCAGGAGTGAGGAAGACAGAGATGAAGAGGGAGTAAAAGGCAGGCAAGAAGCAGACAGGCAAGAAGCAGACAGGCGAGAAGCAGACAGACAAGAAAAACAGAGTGAGGGGGAAGTCAGAGAGGATAAGGATGCAGATGAAATGGTAGAGAGAGGAGCAGAGAACACAGACGTGGATGTTACTCGCCATCAGTTCAGTAAACCCAATCAACCAGATCCAAAATTAATTTCTAAACAGTCCTTGCCCAAATATTCTCTGAGTTTTCAAACTCAGTGGTACCAGAAATTTCCATGGCTCCATGTGAGTCCTGATGTTGAGGGTGTATTGTGCTTTTACTGCTCCAAAGCCTTTGACTCGGGGACATCATCTCTTGCCAAGAATGCTGATTCAGCATTCATTTCATCTGGGTTTAAAAATTGGAAAAAAGCCCTTGAACGATTTACTGTGCATGAGCGATCTGATAGTCATAAGACAGCCATGACAACGCACATCTATGAAAATCGATCAGTACAGGTTCAGCTATCTAGTGTGAGTGTGAAACAGCAAGAGGAAGCAAGGGGAT